GGTCTGTCTGCTCTCAGCCAGTCTTGTTTGCGTGGCTGTGCTCAGCTGTGAAGTCAGTTGGGACTGGATGATCCTGAATAAGCGAACTCAGATGTCGGGGGCTAGGTTGCTGACAGAGAGCAATCCATCTCTGACAGATTCCAACCTAAGTGATGGAGAGAACCTTTCCAGAGATCTCATTCTCTGCCATTACTTGGTGGTCACAGGATTCCAAAAGAGAGGAAAGAGGCATCAAAGCCTGTTGAGAGTAGCCTTGGAATTCCCAGGGCACTCTCCTTGGCCAAAGTAAGTTACTGGGCACTTGGATTCAAGAAGGGTATCAAAGGATTCCTCTTGTAAAAAGAACACCTGGGAGTAATTGTGACTGTTTTCTTTTTATTTGTCTTTTGGGAGATGGCAGGGGTGATGTGGGGTGTGGGGAAGATATATCACACAGATTATTGGTATGTGACTTAGTTTACCTATTTCTCTACAATAGACTGTGGACAATAATAGTATGATATGCTGCATTGTGATATATTCATACTGCATACAGAACTGAGTATGGTGTTATAACACAGTGTGTTCTAATGGAGTGCTACAGATTTTAATCAAGTATATTATATTAACTCTCCCAAGACTTTGTAGTTTCTTCTGTAAACAAACAAACAAACAAACAAACAAACAAATAAAGAGTTAATGAGCTTTTACTTTGATGTATTTTGAAGAACTTGTATTTAGACTGTTTCAATCGTTTCTGGACGCATTACTCTGTAAATATAAATTTCTGTTTGGAGTCAGACAGCTTCTTACCGAGTCCTGTCTCCCAGGATAAATTACAGTGTATGTAATTCCTAGTCATTCTATCCACATTTTTTTAATGCCTCCTCTTTATCCCTTTAACTTTATAAACTTGTCTCTTCAGGTGATAGAAGAGAAGTCTTAGTTATGATAAACTATTTCCTCTCTTTCAATACATTGTCTTATCTGCAGTCAGAGTGAACTTTGAAGATGTAAATCTGATCATAGTACTTTCTCATAATGATAATGACTTCCATTTATGCTACTTTAAATATATCCCCTAATCAGTTTTATGATTGCATGATGCCTCTGGCTCATACATATGCATATATATATTAATCCCATTTCAGCC